TTATGGTGTTGGAGGAGAATATTGAAAGTGCCATGGGCAGCCAAAAGAACCATTAGATCCATTTTGGAAGAAGTGCAGCCAGAGTGCTCCTTGGAGGCCAGGATGGCCAAAGAAGTCTCTCATACTTTGGACATATTGTCAGGAGGGGCTAGTTGCTGGAGAAGGATATCATATTTGGTAAGGTGGAGGGTCAGAGAAGATGAGGAAGACCCCTAATGAGATGGATTGGCCAAGTGGCAGCATCGATGGACTCAAGCGTGGCAACCGTAGTGAGGTTGGCCCAGGATCAGGCAGGGTTTCGTTCTGCTGTGCATAAGGTCGCTATGAGTCGGTACTGACTCGATGGCACCTAACAACAACAATAACAACTACTGACTGAACAGTTGGAGGTTCAAGTCCACCTGGAGGTGCTTCAGAGGCAAGGTTTGGTGATTTACTTCCCCAAACTCAGCCATTGTAAACTTTATGGAGCCCAGTTCTATTCTGATGCCCACGGGACTGCCATGTGTCGGTGTCATCTCCATTTTTATTAGAAGTAGTACTGTTTCCTAATCTAGTCCAGTCCGTGGGATATTATAGGAATTCTGTAAATCATTATTGAGTTTGAATGGAATGGAACTGCAAGGGGAGGGGGTTATGGGAGTTACAGGGCAGCTTGCCCCCCCCCGCCCCCCTTGTTGCTCCATATTACCCTACTCACGATACCCAGGGGACTGGAGCCTCGGCTGGGACCTAGGACACCTGGGTTTTAGGACAGGCCTTTGCCTGAACCAGCTGTGGGAACAGGAGCAAGCCTTTTAGACCCGACGTTCCAATTTCTCATTCTCTGAACAGGATGAAAGGTGGCAGCAGCCTTCGCTACCTGGGTAGGGCTTCTCTGAGCTAGAGGGAATGAGGCTCAACTTGGCTTCTACAGGAGACAGGGGTTGGGGCGGGGGGTTCCGTCCTTTCCAGGTCAAAGCCCAGCCCCCCCCGTTTTCCTCTAATCTCTAAAGATTGATGTGGAACACTTGGCCTTTGCTGCCTTCCCGAAGGGAGGGACACTGAGTTGCCTCTGGGGCCTCTATTAATGATGCATTCATAGTTGCTGCCTGCAAATATGCAGCCAAGCTCCAACCCCAGTCAATTATTGATGGCATTCACACCTCAGTTGCCACCCTGTCCTCTGGCTCACAGCCAAGCGTCCAGGGTGGCACCGTGCCCAACAAAGGCAGCCACTCAGGAACAAAGTACTTACCAAATTCAGAGTTCCTTCAGGCTTATGGGGTTCCGATGGGCACAGAGGAGTTCCTCCATTCCAGAGAAGATGGTTCAATACCAGCTTAGCTCATGATCCATTCATCTTCTTCATTTACTCTGTAATTACTTCTCAGGTAGCAGCTATCAGCCAGGCACTATAGGAGCTACCATGAGCTCACATTTGACCATTTTGCAAAAACAATTCATCTTTGCTATTGTTGTTGTAAAGTGCCATTGAGTTGATTTCCACTCAAAGCAATCCTGTGTAGGGTCCCTAAGGAGCAGCTGATGGGTTTGAACTGCCGACCCTGTGGTTCGCAGTCCAGTTCTGACCCTATAGCGCCACATCTTTGATAGAGGCTCATAGACATTTACTTCAGAATCGTTAATTTGGGTGTGAGTATATGCTTGTTTGTATCATTATTTGACGATGGTCTTCAACATAATGAAAATTGTAGGAGAGTGTGAGGTGTCTCATTCTGCCCATCAGTCCCAAAGCTAAGCACAGCGCTGAATAACAGAAAAAGAACTCAGTTCTTATTAGTCAGATGGGGAGGACTACATGAGAGTGTGAATGGATAGAGGTCTGTGGATATGGTGTTCCAATCTACTCACAGCAAACATGGCTTGTAAAATATAGATGTAGCTTTGTCTTGTAAACTCATTGAAATGTACCATTCTACTCTTCAGCAGGCTTTCGTATAAAGTGATAATGTGCATTACCTGTCATCATGTGAAACTGATGATCCAGGCAGACACATGCTCATCTGTAGAGTGTTGTTGTTGTTAAGTGTCATCGAGTCCGTTCTGACTCATAGTGACCCTGCATAGGGTTTCCAAGGAGTGGCTGGTGAGCTTGAACCACCGACCTTGTGGTCTAAACCAACTTTGCAGTGTAGCGCATTAACCCACAGCGCCACACCAGGACCCCTGTACATAGCCTTACGTAAATCCTAGCACATCATTTTATCTCCTCAGATGATGTATGTGTCCTGCTTTTAAAAGCCAAGACTACTGTGTGCCTGCCACATTCCTCCCATTCGATACCTGAGAAATAGAAGGTGGGATTCTATCATCTTAAGGGACATTAGGGTCTCAGCTGAGAAGCTGCAGGCCAGCAGAAGAATGGGATTTTTTGTGATATTTTTAAAAACTTTCAATTGTGACCTTGGTGGTGATGGTTCTATGCTGTGGAGTTGGTTCCAACTCATAGCAACCCTGCACAGGGTTTCCGAGGCGGTAAATCTTCACGGGAGCAGAAAGCCTCATCTTTCTCCCACAGAACGTCTGGTAGTTTTGAATTGCTGACCTTGAGGTTAGCATCCTGACTCGTAATGTGACCAGAGCTCTTTAATGTGACCTTGGAGGATCGATAAGAAAACAAAGCTGAAAATGTTTCTTCCTGGTTTCAGTCTCAGGTGCACTTGTTGGGTGGCTTTTGGAAATTGGGTCTCTGTTTCCTCACCTGTAAAATGGGGAGAATTGTGGGCTTATTGTGAGAATTGAACACATGCAAAATTCACAGCTCAATAAAGTTTCAATTCTGTTGTAATATTCTTGTCTTGGGACTTGGGTGAGGTGGAAGAACTTTGACCTTGGACTTCCAGGGGATGGGAACCCAAGACACTTATACTCACTGAACATGGGAAAGACAGGGCTTGTCTTGGTTTAATAAGAAACTTCTGTGTGATTCACTGTGTCTTTCTCCAGGGGTGGTTGAATCTACTGCCTTGGTAGTTTGGTTGAGAAGACAAATTAGCAAGAAGGCATTTTTATTCAACAACACCCAACAGGTGGTAGACTTTGTGAAATCCAGGCCTTTGGTCATCATCGGCTTCTTCCAGGTATTGGGATCAAGGGGTGGTGGTGGGTAGTGGTCAATGCTCACTCATAGTGACCCTGTGTAAGGTTTCCAAGGCTGTAAATATTTACCGGAGCAGAAAGCCTTGACTTTCTCCCATGGAGTACCTGGTGGACTCAAACTGCTGACCGACCTTGTGGTTAGCAGCCCAAGGTGCAGCCCCCTGCTCTACTACGGTTCCTTGTGATCAAGGGGTTGTGGGGTGGGGAGCGTTTCAATAGGCAAGGATTGTGTGCCACTGAGTCATTTCTGAGTCATAGCAACCCTGAATAGAGTTTCCGAGGCTGTAAATCTTTATGGGAGCACAAAGCCTCACCTTTTTCTTGCGGAGCAACTGGTAGATTCGAACTACTGACCTTGCGGTTAGCAGCCTAGTTCAGTAATCCACTACGCTTCCAGGGCTCCTTAGAAATCGTATGAGAGGACTTCAGAAAGTTCATGGATAAAAGGAGTTAAAAAATAATTGAATGTTTTTATCAATCTTTTGAAGATCTCGTAATTCTAGGAGGGTGGGATGAGGGGACTATGTGCTAGTTTTCTGAGGGAGTTGAAGGGTTAAAAATGACCAAGGAGAAGTGGAAGCTGAAGTGGTAGGAGGAGCCAGCTAGAAAACTGAAGGAGACTAGAGAGCAAAGAGAAGACACTGTTTATTTCATTGAGAAAACTGAAGGAGACTAGAGAGCAGAGAGAAGGCACTATTTATTTCCTTGAGAAAACGGAAGGAGACTAGAGAGCAAAGAGAAGGCACTGTTTATTTCATTGAGAAAACTGAAGGAGACTAGAGAGCAAAGAGAAGACACTGTTTATTTCATTGAGAAAACTGAAGGAGACTAGAGAGCAGAGAGAAGGCACTTTTATTTCCTTGAGAAAACAGAAGGAGACTAGAGAGCAAAGAGAAGGCACTGTTTATTTCATTGAGAAAACTGAAGGAGAATAGAGAGCAGAGAGGAGACACTGTTTATTTCCTTGGTTTTGACAGAAGCATGGACTCTTTTGGGGCCCGCTTAGAACATCACTGAATGATGGAGAAATGTCTTGTATGTTGATTTGAGAGTCATTGCTGTTTGAATTCTGACAGCCATGAACCGTGTTTGGGCCAGGCCAGTCTCGCTTCCTAACTTCTCTCTAATTGTCCCCATACATTCAAACCTGTAACTTATTGTAAACATGACACCATCTGAAAATACACCCTCAGCATAGAGACAGCAGGAGAAAATGTTTAGGGAAGGTTCTGTAACTTACATATGATACACATAATTATTTTTTGCTTTTAGATGAAAGTGTTTCTCTTGTGTCTTAACTCATTTGATGTAACTTTAGTGATACTACTCCTCTCAGTGGAAGTGAGAATGTTTGAGCTACATTTACACATGGGGAGAGTAAGGGTCTCCATTCCCATTCTGGGAGAGTGCTTTTGGCCCCACCTTCTTTTGAAGGAATGAAGGCTGACACTACAGATGTATCTTGATACCAAGTTCATATTTGGTACTATATGTAGTTAAACCAGTTGCCTTTTCTGAAAGCAATTATGAAGAAAATGTCAAAATGCCTTAGCCTTAGGATTAGAACAGTCTCTACTCTGATAATTGAAAAAGGTCAAGTTTATGAGCTTTCTCCATTGATTTCCCTTTTTTGGTCTTAGACATCTGGGTATGAGACATTCATGAGGGGATTTGGGTGACCAAGAAAACCCCTAGAACTTGAAAAAATGAGACAAATTTGCCACAATTTCCAACTATTTATAGATATGCCTTAAATAAGCCAAAATAGTTTTTTTGTGCTTTTCTGCCAAACCCTTACCAAACATCCTTCCGCAAACAGGATTTAGAGGAAGAAGTAGCAGAATTGTTCTATGACGTGATCAAAAACTATCCAGAGCTAACCTTTGGAGTGATATCAATTCCCAATGCCGTTGGGCGTTTCCACGTCACCCTCGATAGTGTCCTGGTGTTCAAAAAGGTAGGACTAGATTATGCATTCTGCTTGCCACCATTTCTCAATGCTTTTATCCAAAGGGGAGATTGTATCATTTGTATTTATGAGATGTCTACTTGATGAAAACTATTCCCTTTCACGTTTTTCTTTTTTGTCTCAGGGAAAAATTGTGAAACGCCAAGAACTTACTTATGATGGTACCAATGAGCAATTTCTCAATCAAGTAATTAAACAGCACCTCACAGATCTTGTGATTGAATACAACTACGAGGTCAGTGAACAAGGAGACCCTCCCCCTGGGAAAAAGGGTAGCTGGGGCAACTGTGATTCTCTGCATAATGACTGTTTTCCTTATCATTTCAGAATAAGGATTTGATTCATGACTTGAACATCTTGAATCACATAATGCTCTTTGTCTCCAAAAATTCAGAGTCATTTGGTATCATAATTCAGCAATATAAGTTGGCAGCAAAGGAATTCCCAAACAAGGTATGAGAAAGGCATCACTGCTTTTTAGGGTTCTTGGATGGGGGACCTATAGATCTTGCTTTTGTTCACCTAGTCTACTTGTAAATTAAGCCAGAAATCAGTGAGCACCTACTCCTCTCCTATTGCTTACTGAAAGTGAGAAGACTTAGAGCACAGATGAAAATCAAAGGCTAGAACTTTCATTATGGATTATACCTCAACACAAAATTAAAATCCTCACAAAAGTGATAAATGGGGAAAACATAAGGGTGTCATTTTACTTGAATCTACAATCAATGTCCCTGGAAGTGTCAATCAAATTATTTATTGCATCGGGAAAATCTGCTACAGAAGACCTCTTTAAAGTGTTAAAAAGCAAAGATGTCACTTTGAGGACTAAGGTGCACCTGACCCAAGTCTAGTCTTTTTAATCGCTTCATATGTATGCAAAAGGTGGGCAATGCATAAGGAAGATTGAAGAAGAATTGATGATGTTGATGCTTAGCAATCAATGATCAAGTCTCCATACTTATTTTGTCTGTTCATTCATTTATGGTTTGGCTTCCACACTAGAATATAAGCCACAGAGGGCAGGGATTGTGACTGTCTTGGGAAGTGATGTATTCTCAGTGCTTAGTAAAATGTTGAGCAAATAGTAGGCCCTCCATGAATCTCTGTTCAATGATGGATTTCCTTCACCTCATGATTTAGAAGCAGAAAAATAACAAGAGGTAATATGTCCTGAGCATATTCAGTTTGCTGGTCACTGAGCTAACGCTTTCATATAGATTGTGCTGTTTAATTCTCACAACAACCCTTTGAGGATGAGTAATGTAATCATTTCACAGATAATAAACTGTTATTTACCTAGTGCTACTATAAAAAAAAAATACCAAAAATGGGTGGTTTTACCAAACAGGAATTTATTTTCTTACAGTTTTGTTGTTGTTGTTAAGTGCCATCGAGGCGGTTCTGACCCATAGCAACACTGTATTGGGTTTCAGAGTAGCAGCTGGTGAGCTTGAACCGCTAATGGTGCAGTTCAAATGATCTTGCAGTCCAGCACATTAACCCACAGCACCACACCAGGACTCCAAACTGAGAACAGCCTCTGGGGAAGCCTTTCTCTTTTTGATGGCTCTGGTGAAAAGCCCTTGTCTCTTTTCAGCATCCGTACATCCAGAGTTCATTGACGATCTCTGTGTGTCTTGCATCAATCCTTCCCTGGATCTAGAAGCATCACACTATGCTTATATATATCCCTGTATCACAGACCCCTGTTGTTCCAAGGTTGAGCATGTATCATTATTTACCTCTGTCCCACTTAGGCCATGCAAACCAGTCTCAGTGTTCTCCTATCTATCTTGTTCTTCCACCTCCACCCACATCCCCTTCTTGTATTGCTCTCCCCAACACCTGAACTAAACCTGCCACCCCAACCTCACCCTTACCCTATATTCCATTAACTCTTCCCTCAATTTAAGACAGTCTATTTTATCCTGTAATCTACCTGAGCTTCTCACCACCTGGATCTCTGTTCCTGTGTGTTTACCTTCTTTCACATTGTAATTGTTTTGATCATAGACTGACCTCCCAGATCCTCTGTTCTTATAATTCTATTCTGTTCTTGACTCTTCCGTTTGTCGACTGAGTTCAGGGTGATGCTACCACGTTGTTGTCTGTTCTTGTTGGTTCTCAGTCCACAGAACTTCCTTTAGGATGTTTTTTATGGCAGGGTTGGCTTTGGCAAAATC